ATGTGGCTGACTCCAGTGACTGGGCCCCTGCCAGCCTCAGTGTATGTGGCTGACTCCCAACTCACTGAGCTATGGGCACCAAGCTCAGTTTGATCCTTTCAAAGTATGTTGTTTTGCTTTGTTAGACTGGGTTCAGATCAACCTGAAACCAGACCATCCTAGGGATGATTTGACCTACTGTAAGGCATGTTTTTCTGAGAACATTGTCTTATGTGTTAGAGCTCCAACCTGTGGGTCTTGACCCACAGGAACTGTGTTAAGGGTCGCAGCATTAGGAAGGTTGAGAACCACTGTGCTAGAGGGTCTTTCCAGTTTAGCTGGTGGAAACATGAACTATTGTGTGAACTTTGATTATTGCCCTATATATTTATTTTTGGTGGTTCTTTCTGTGGTCTTGGGTAGTTTCCTCATGCACATACAGACTAGTACCAAGCCAAACTTAATAAGACCCCTTGTAGATGGTATGAGCTGTTTTTTTTAGAAGAATATTTGGCAAAAAAGACTGCTTTTTGACAAGCCCAAATTCTGCCAGTCATCCTTCTAGTATGAATGGCTATTATCTGTCTACAGTACACACAGCAGCTCTACTTTGATCTTTCCTCAGTGAGAAAAATTCTGGAGACCTCTCCTGGTGCCAGTAAAACTATTTCTGGTAACCTATATATTTCTCTGTTAAGATAGAAAAATATTCAACTTACCCTCTTTCTTAATAAATATTAATCCAATTTCTTTTTTAATTATAACTGCTTAGCTGTTACTTGAGAGAACTTAAATGATGAAAAGTTCTTGAAACCTAAACAGACTAATTGAAAAACTTCACCTCTAGACGATGTCTACCAAGATTGCCCTTAGGACCTGTTCCCCTGGCCTCTGACTTAGTTATAGCTATTCTCTGCTCCTCCCCCTTGCAGGTTCACCTAGAACTGGATCTTTTGGGAAACCAGGAGAGTCTGCTGTCTTCCTGATTTTGTATATTTGTCAGTGTCTGGATTGTAGGATAACCAATCTACAGTTTTCTTGTCTACTTGTAACTACTTGAGCTTGTTTTTCCCATACCGTTTGAAGGTGTTGTCTATGTTTTGCTTTGTTTTGTTTTTGTCAACAGGAGAGGAAAACAAGACTGAGGTGAATCACCAGTTAAGCCTAGAGTCTGTGAAACTTGAAGAGCTTACCCTAGACAATTACCCCATTACTGCACCCCTTGTCCAGTACTCAGAAAACTCCTCTGAGGATGGAGTTGGAAATCCTGAAGGGAAAATACCAGGTGCAGCTCCCCCTTACAAGAAAAAGTTCATAAGCCTTTTAGTTACCATTGAGAACCATACCCCATTAGTAGAATTATCTCAATGTTTAGGAACCAGAACACTTTCTGAAATTCTAGAATTTCCCTGGGAAGAAGCCAACAATGTGTACAAGTGTCCTGAATGTGACCAAAGCTTCAGTGATAATTCATACCTTCTTTCGCATCAGAAAATTCATTCAGGAGACAAGAAATATAAATGTGGTAACTGTGGAAAGATTTTCAATCATAGAGCCAACCTGAGGACACACAGTAGAATCCATACTGGTAAGAAGCCTTATAAGCGTGCCAAGTACAGTGCCGGCTTTCGCCGGCACTCATATCTGTCTCGGCACAAGAATAGCCACATAAAGAAGAAACCCTATACATGTAGCATATGTGCAAGAGGTTTTATGTTGCTCCCCGGATTGACACAGCATCAGAAAACCCACAATGTTGAAAAACCCTATGAATGTGCTAACCTTAGTAAGTATTTCAGTGAGAAAACAGATCTTCCTTTGGATGAAAACACACACACATCATCCCCTCAGTACCAGTACAATCACCACGTGAAGAGCTATGAGGAGCCTTCATATCCTGCTCTTCCTGAGAAGGCACAAAAGGAGGACTCTGAACGCCACAATGATGATGATGACGATTTTTTTTCATTCTCTAGATTCAAACCCTTACAGTGTTCTGAGTGTGACATGACCTTTCCATCTTTCTTTGAGCTTATTTCTCATCAGGACATTCATGCAGAGGAAAAGCCCCGTAAATGCAAAACATGTGAAAAAAGTTTTACTTCAGAGACAGAACTTATATGCCACCAGAAGAGCCACACAGCAGAGGAACCTTTTAAATGTACCGTGTGTGGAAAAAGTTTCAGGGTAATTATGCATCTCATTACTCATAAGCGCACTCATATGAAAAACACCAAGTAAATATAACAAGTGGCTTTTCAGTATCTGTACAGTAAGAAAATAGTTACTGTTTATGTGCCAGGCACTGTGCTAAGCACTTTATACATATTCCATGTATATTAATTTTTACTACAACCTTGTTTTAGGCAGTATTACTTCTATTTTATAACAGAGGAAGCATAATCAGTATCACATACTGTATGAAGCCAGGGTTCAAACTCAGTTATTTTTTAAATTACATTCATATGAGCCAGATAAAGATACAGAATTTTTGTTTAAATTCAGCTTTCATTAAAATGAAGGCTACTGTTAGAGTTCTTTTAATTTTGTTTATGTCGTTTCTATGTTTTGGAAGATTTTATTTATTTTTTGACAGTTTTGCAGATGCATCTTGGAAAGTAAATGGTTTTATATCCTTTTTGTACTTTTTGGGCTATAACTGTTTGAATGTAATATTTTTATGAGATTATTTTACGTGTGAATTTTTAGACGTGTTTAGAAGCCTTTTTTCCTCTCCTCCTGTAAAAAGTTCCCCAATGGATGTACTAGTTGGTATCTTGATTGCTATTAGTATCCATGGAATTCCCATTCTCAGATCTGATGCCAGGAACAGTACTGGCATTTATGACCCAGTTGTTTGCAAGGAGTTTTGGCAACCTGACTACACCCCTTTTCTGGAGGCTGGACTTGACTTGGAAAGGAGGGGAAGTACTTGCTCCTCTCTAAGGTGACCTGCCTCCATATCTCTATGAAGCACATTATCTGTCTTGTTATAAGTAATTGTTTCTTATAGCTGTTCTTAGTGAGCATGCTAGATACTTTAGGTATACTATCTAATTTAATCTTCAGAATAAATCTGTGACAGACAAAAGACTGTCCTTGTTTGTAAATAAATAAACTGAAGCCCTCACAGGGTAGTCAGTACTTGGCCCAGCATACAAAAAATACCACATTATGTGAAGCTGGCATTTAAACTTGGGTCTCTCTAACTCCCAAGGCCATGCATCCTGCAACACTGCATTATTTGTTGGCATTTACATCATGTACACGTATTAGCACCTTGGGCAGCGGGGAGGCTGAGATCGGTAGGTAAGGATGGTCATCTTGGAGGCTGCCCTGTGTAACTTGCATCCTGGAACCGCTTCACTCTCCTTGAGCTTTACCCAATGCCTGCCTTACATGTACAGTTATACAGCAAAAGACTATTCCTCAGGACTTCAAGTTTGAACTCCAATTCCTGTAATCAGGTAAGAGATTTCAAACTTTTCAGGGCATAGTCCTGAATATTTTAGTTGGGTTTTGTTTGTTTTTTTAAACACTCATAACATTTCCTCTCCATCTCCAAAGAAAAATACATATAGAACATTGTTAGATTTTAACCAAAATATTTGGTACTATGTATGTCTTTAGATACTGTTGTTATACATAAATATTGGAGCAAAACATTGTTAATAGTATGGTTATTAATGTTAAAGAATTAGAGAATGTTGTAAATATACATTCATAATAGAATTTCTCTTTAACATGAAATTGATTGCATACCTATCAGCAAAACAATACTTATATGGGCTTTCGAGTGGAGTGTATTATTCTGTTTAATAGTATGAAAGTAGTATTTGCTAAAATGGAGTTATTCTTAAGAAGTCTTGTGAGCAAAAAAAAAAAACCACTTCTTAAGGACCAATGGGATAGAAGGTAGAACCTGGAAGATGGTCTCCCTACAGAATAGCAGATTCAGAACTTAATATATGAAAACATTCTGGCTACTGGAGCTAAGCTCCTAACACTGATTAGGGGCAAGGAGATAATATTCAGGTGACAGAAAAACTGAAACCAGCAACCCTAACCCAGGTTGCCTACTTCCCTCCCTTTTTGTCATTCTCATTTGCAGAGGTGCCACCATGGAGACCATGTGCTTTATATGTCATGGTCAGACTTGGCTCTTTGTTTCTGATGTCTCCATTCTTAGGATACCAGTCTGCAAGGGCTTTAAGGTCTTAAACTTAAAAGAATGAGGCCTTGCAGTCTTCAGTAGGTCTATCTGTCTGGGGTACTCTGAGTTGTGTACATAGATAGTCTCCAGTTTAGCCAACTCTGGAATATAAGGATCTTTGTTAAATATAAGCAAGAACAGAACTCCCTGCTCTCTTGTTTCTGCTCTCAGTAGGAAAAACCGACGTGATGCCCAATTAGCACAAGAGAGGTTCTAAATGAAGAGTTGCAGGATGAGGAATATAACTGAGAACATAACTCTACTAGCAGAATTGCTGCAGAAGTAGAGAGGGGGGGGAAAAAGAAGTAGAGAAGAGTGTTTCAGGCACTTGGACAGAATGGAGCTAATTGAAAAGATGGGCACTCTCATCCCCTCCCCTTTTTTTCTCTTAAGAACATCCTGTTCTACACCTCAGTAGGAAATTTTGCCTTCCCAGTTGAGGCTTCCTTCCCAATTAACCTCTTATTTTAGGCAATTTTACTTTCCATATTTAGGAAGATTATGAAAAACCTCCACAGAGGATTAGAAAAATAATACTTTTACAGAAATATTAACATACACATGGTGTAATTAAAGTGGCTTTTTGGTATAATATTGTTGATGATTGGTATGCAAAAAAAAAATGAAAAAAAAAACCCACCTGAGTGTCAGTTACTGTGAAACAGGTATATTTTCAATTGTTGCCTTATTGTGCACTTGTACATAAAAACATTTGCTGGATGTAATTCAAGCTGCTATGTCCCCAGGGAATTGAGGGAAAAGGTGTGTCTACTGGTGAGTTTTAGGCTGTTTTTATAATGATGGCTTTTTCATCCTATTTAGTGTCAACTTATGGAGATTGCATAAAATTGTCATTGAATCAGAGCCTACTGTGTTAGGTGCTATTAACAAATACTGGATAAAAGTTAATATAGAAATGAAAAACCTAAATGCAAGAATTTATTGCTAGGTTTGGATAGCTACATTGTACAGCATAGATGTTGACAGACTTTGTAGAGTGAAAACTTGGTGTGGAAGAAACTGACTCAAACAGACTTCTTTTTTATTGTTAATACAGTGATGAAAATGTGTATGCCACAATTCTTTAACTTGATTGTTGAAATATCAGGTTCTCATATTTCATCATTGATGAAAACAGCATTTTCTCAATATAATTCAGATGTCTGCAGTTTACATTTTGTAATTTAAGAAGAGGTGGAATTTATTTCTTGAATGAGTTGGGCTCAAAATAGTTTTGTTTAGAGCTACAGTTTAATAGTCTATCCACAGCTCCTTATTTTACATAGAAAATAACAACCCAGTAATTCAAAGAGTTAAAAACAAAACAAATGACATTTCACAGAAGATGTCATTTTGAGTCTGCCTCCGAGATTCCATATAATTCAGTGGCATTGTTCTAGTGACTGCAGCATAAGATGTCATACAATGTAAACTGCAGCTTTTGTTCAAAGTAATCTGCACCTTACTGCATATGTGTACAAAGAGGATAAGTTATATGAGTGAAGAGTCTATTTTGAATGTTCATTGAACTTGTTATCCCTGTGGGAGTTTAGCAGGAAAGTGTTTTTATTTGACCATCTGTTCAAAAAGTAACAAGGTGATCTTCATTATAAGTGTATCTGTTCCTGTGTTTTAGTTTTGTAGATTAGGAGAGCTGTTAATCTAATATAAAGATGATCGTTACCCATCTTTCTAAGGCCCATCAGACTACAGGTGTTTTGTCTCTTGTTTTTAAATTGACATTCCTTCTTGCATTAAGTCTGTGGAGGAGGGAGATTTAATATAAATATTCATCTATATAACCTAAAAATGTGCTGTAATCTCTAGTTCTTTTGGATACCTCAGAAGTATATTTGTTGTATGCACTTCTACTGTTTGTCACTGTTTTTGGTGCATTTTCATCAGTCTTAGCTCTAGATTGCAAGCTCTCAACAGGCAGTGATTGTTTATCTGATGTGCAATTTGTCATCTAATAAATGCTATTTTGTGGCGAGAGCAAGGAGGTGAACTTTCTTTTTTACACTTAAGTGGTTTTAGATGGTAATGTGAATTTTGAAGACTGGCGGTATTATGGTTTGGAGAGGGTGAACGAATGATTTCGCGCCATTTGATAAAGTAAGTAAAATTGCTGGCTGTTCGAACTTATTAGAAAATTCCGGCGTTATTTCCGGAAGACCGCACTAGATGTCGATCGCCTTACATAGTCTCCAGAGTACAGGGCCATGTACCTCTAGTCTCCCCAGGGTAGCGGCATGGGCTGCCACTTAAAGGTGGGAGTCTGGAATAGGGGTACAGGGGCAGGCACTCCGGGGTCTCTCCGGGGTAGCAAGGGAGTCCAGGGTAGTGATTGCGTATGTTTCCCAGAAGGCTTTGCGCGGGCTCAAGGAGACCCTAGGTCTCCAGGTTGGCAGCCAACAGCACAGACCAGCGGAAATGGCAACCAGGAGGTGCACTGCAGTGGGCCACTGCGCAGGAAACGGAAGTACAAAGCTACTTCCGGTGCACCCTTCCAGGAGCGCCTGCGCACTCCTGGTACGGTTGGGGTGTCGTGAACGGTGGAGATCCAGCCGATGGGTATGGCCGGGACCTTGCCACACATCTAGTGAACCCTGCTAGATGGTGTCTGTGTAAATTGGGCAGTAGGAGTGAGAATATTTGCTGAAGGAGTACTCAAGTCTGTCCGTCGCATCAGCAAGAGGGTAACACGAGTGGGAATGTTGAAGATAACCTGAATTTCCATCCCGTGATTCTAGGAAATTACCGCGCTGGGACTGGAGAAGGAACCCTACATCACCTTCTAGCCTCTGACCCACTTCATCATTATGAAGCTACAGACTCGTCGTGCTTTGTTGACAAGGATACTTATTGCTTCTCACATGTGCTGGGTAAAGTATCTTCTCTCTAGAACCAGCACTGATCTCTTAATCTTTTAACATTTTGAATAGCCAAATTCTAATGTGCTTCTGGTTAGTTGGAATGAACTCTCTTTTCACCTTGGTAAATGGTCTCCCCAAGTGAGATTAGACATTTCAATGGCTACAAAAGATCTTACTTCAGGTCTAACTCAGATTTCGGATTCCTATATTCAAGTACTTTCCAGAGATCATCTTTTAGATGTCTCTTAAGTGTCAAAACACATGTCCTAGCCAGGCATCGTAGCTGAAGCCTATTATCCCAGCACGTTGGGAGGCTGAGGCCAGAGGATTGGTTTATCCCTGCCATTGAGGCTACAGTGAGCTATAATTTTGCCACTGTACTCCAACCTGGGCAACAGAGTGAGACACTGTCTCAAAAAAGCTCCCCCCTAACAAAAACCACACATGTTCTTAACTGTATGCCTCCAGTATACGCTATCA